TGGATCCTTTACCAAACGACAACTACGATAAGATGCCACGACATATCACTCTGAATGAGGAGAAATAAGACCAACCAAGTCTTCCTGCTTGACCTACCTCATAATTGTCCTGGGGAGCCGAATTCGGTGCAGTTTAGCATTTGTCATCCACATTCAATTCATTATCATCCTTACCATCATTGTACACGTTAGCTGAAGGTGGAAAACGCCTCAGCTATTGTGCCGAAATACAAAAGAAAAAATGCATCAGCTAGCTTCGCCGCTCTTAAAACACGTAGAGAGCTCCGTTGCAAGTTATCCCACATAAGGTGCTGTGCGGCGCTACGGAATAAGTTTGCCGAACCCACTAGGTGTAACAACACCAAGCATGTATTTCCTATTCACGTTTCCAACCACACCATAGAAGAGGCACGACGTTTATTGGGCGGTAGTTATGCGAATGAGCCAAAAGAACTTTCAGCGTTAAGCCTCATCTCAACCGTATTCTTAATAAACTGGACTCAGCTTTGTTCTCATCTTGCACATAAACCAAAAGGACCCTACGTATCATTTTAGTTGTCATATCTTATCTACCGGACCGTTTAACGTTACCAGACTGCAGTCCGCTTACTTTCACTGGGACTCCTAACCAGGCGATAGCAGTTACTACTGGTGTATTTTCGTTCGGTGCCTTTTAATTCACCCGTCTTAAATCATGTTTGTATTTTAACCGTTCAACTCCAACTAGTCTGCAAGTGTTTCTCTGATAGCTATAGATGTGACCCACGCTTGCCTACTCCCTTTAACCTCATATTGGCCCTCAGCATCTCAGACTTGAGCGCACGCCATACACTATTGACGACATTGGCAGAACGAGAAGCCAGATCGTTTTTTACAGACATTATTGCCATCTTGATCAACACTAGTTCATATTCAATTAAAATTGTCTAAAAGTTACCCAAGTCTCGGAGTAGCCCCTGCCACCTCAGCTAACCGGACATCAAGGACTTTCCGACCATCACATTGTCTTACCTTGGTCATCTGTGATGTGAGTTCCCTAGCAGACTGAACCGATGGATCAACGGAGCGAGCTAGATAACCAATGGGAGACGGACATAGTGGACTCGATCAGTGGACATGGATTGGCGGATGTTACTGACAGTTGCTTTAACTGAGTCGAAAAGGGAACATCACAGTTTCATAATGGTCATTTTTTGTGGAAGTGAATGGACATAGCATATCGAAGAGTTCAGCGTGCTCATTTAATTTTCCGAAATAAACGCTTGTCTCCGAAAGACTGAGTTCTGCAACAATCTCCACGAAATTTCTTTCGTACCTGGTTTCACTGCCAAGATGCACTCATGGGACTTTTGGCGCAGTGATGCGTGAACAAGCAACTTCTTTTTTCGAAAACTGACTTGATGACAGATGAAGCACCCAAGCGTTGTCGAATACCGGCATACACCAGCTCGGTCTGCAATACAGCTGATTATTGATTACATCCCTTTCAGACCATTAAAATAGTGAAGATTAGCCAGTAAAAGAATAGCGAGTTGGAGACTACGGGGTCAAAAACATGAGGCTAAACAATCTCCCCTAGTTACGATATCTCATCCTATGGATCAGTAGACGTCCAGGTAGTGCGTACTAAGCTTTCAGCCAAATGGAGATTTCGGCAATTTTTCTGATGCATTCTATTATTCGTATCTGCCAATTAGTAGCCCTATATATTCCTAAATTCGTTGCAGAGTTGATTCACCTCAGTAGAAACGTTAATCTCGCAAGATGTGTCCTATGAACCATGAAGAATGTGCCTGGAAAAACCAGTGTTTTAGGCGCAACACACCGCAGGTTGTGATTATTGCAAATTTTGCGCTTAACTATACTGTTTTGGCTATATATAACAATTCTGAATTTCGCAGCTAATTCATCATCGCCCACTCCCAATAAACAGGATTAGGCTAATCTTGAAAAGCACCAGACGCCGGCGTTTCGACATTTTGGGTCTCATCAGTGGTGCGCCTCCCAGCGGAACCCTGCCGGATTCCGCCCCCATGACTTCTGGATGCCAGCAGCTAATGCCACTTCGCCATGGGTGACAGCCGTAGACCTGCGTGATTGGTAGTTGACTATGATATAGCCCGGCTCATCTTCCACTGCCATGCCAGTTACGAACTGCGCAGAGGACAATGGTTAGCCTCACGAGCTAGGACTTTCCGCATAGCGCCAATGCACAGCAAAGGACGTAGAAGCTATACGGACAGATGTTATAATACTAATGAGTAGTGAGGATTTTTGGTATAATGCAGCTAATTCATCATCGCCCACTCCCAATCAGCAAGATTAGGCTAATCTGGAAAAGCACCAGACGCCGGCGTTTCGACATTTTGGGTCTCATCAGTGGTGCGCCTCCCAGCGGAACCCTGCCGGATTCCGCCCCCATGACTTCTGGATGCCAGCAGCTAATGTCACTTCGCCATGGGTGACAGCCGTAGACCTGCGTGATTGGCAGTTGACTATGATATAGCCCGGCTGGGAGGCGCACCACTGACGAGACCCAAAAGGTCGAAACGCCGGCGTCTGGTGCTTTTCCAGATTAGCCTAATCCTGCTGATTGGGAGTGGGCGATGATGAATTAGCTGCATTATACCAAAACTCCTCACTACTCATTCGAATTCTGAATTTGTTCATAGAAACCATTTGTTTTTTCTTTCACATCTACGTCATTCGCCAAACACTGCACATTTCGCATTCACTTCGCTAAACATCGTATGGAACTTCTGAGGCTGTTGCTATTGGTTTGTTTGCTGCTCACGTTGGGTTGTTTCTCACCCACGGCGATGCTTTTCAGCATGACGTACCAAATAAAGTACACTAGCGAAAAGCGCAAGAAGCACCCGCCAAAGTTTACCTACTCCCAGTGAACAATGCAATTTATGTGGAATTCTCCTTTGTTAGACATTTTATTTATTATACTGACAAACATTTAAGAGACAATACGAAACACGCGCAACAACCAGATCTCGTCTTCATCTATGCTTTCCAAATAGGAAGTAAATGCTTTAAATATTCTAAAACCGTTTCTTACTGCTTCGCCGCTAACGTGCATTTCTTACTTTGTCTGGTCCCAATAGAAACATCAGGACACACTGAATTCGGTGAATAAAGCGGCATTGAGCGCGAGCAGATCGAAATACTCTTTTTAGCCAAAAGTAGTCCCATTACCGCTTTTGGACCGGAATGGTTCGGTGTACCTCAGTGGGAAAACCACTAACGGAGACAGGCAGCAAAAACTTTCGCATAATACGAGGAACACCACTAAAAAGTTCCCCCTAGTAAATTCGACTGTCTTTAACCCCGAGCGCTATAAATGTGTCATAAAGTAACATGTATGACTGACGACATCCGATTCCGGATTATAATATCACTGCGGTTTCCATAAAACAACCACTGGACGCCTACGTCTATAGATGGACTATAGGCGTCTTGCGCCTCATCACCCACACACCCCATATCCAGTGTATCACCCGAAGGAATAAAACTGGGAGGCATGTGGATGGGAGCCACGTTTCATCAATGGAGCCAGCCCATACTCCTTCAACATGCACAGCAGCAGCGTTCCTCACTGTCTATTCAGAGAATCATGCGTATCACATGTACACAACGCGGTGGCTGGGCCGTAGTCCGCTCCACACTGGATGGAACCACTCGTTGAACCTACCATGGCCACGAGAAGCGTGCACCAAGTCTCTCCACCCCCCCCCAGCAACGATTCAGTCTCCTGGATCCAGTAACAGAGGTGAAGGTTGTTAGACAGGTAGGTACCTAGTCAACATGCACCCGAAGCACAATCACATCGGGGGTATCAAACAGTCAACATAGAATCTGACGAAAAGCAAACACGCAAAATTGACACAGAATATGCAGCAGAATAACAGCATTGAACAAACCAAATAAAGAGGAATGACTTTTAAAGTTGGACTTGGAGAATCCGCTGTGTAGTTGGGATGCTACAAGTAACCTCTATTGAGACCTCGGTTCATTTGAGGTGGACCTCGGTCACTCCGATCACAAGAGTTATGTGAAATGGAAATATTTTGGTTTTGCTCATCCCAACACAGGCACCCCACGACTACGAATGACTTGTATGCAGATTAAAAATGACCTAGTTTACGTGTAAGTTGGTTTGGCCCAAATGCGATGAAGAGGCACCATGAAGGTAACATCAACCTCAGCATGAGGCATGACGGAATATAGTCAATACCAAAGCAGACCACGTTGACTTACCCGCTATCTTCGATATTGGAAAGAACAATTAAGTAACAAGGATTTGAAGCATTCCAGAGCATCGGGTGATAGCTGGTTGAAATCACGTGTTTTCGAACTGGGCCACAATATCTAGCTGACATTCGTTACGTTCAGGATAACGGAATTCAAAAGTCAGTGGCAATACTTAAAGCAGTTCAAAGGAAAGCACCCACTTTGAATAACTATGTAGATACTTTCGAGATTGGTTTGGGAACGTAGTGTGTGGCTTCATGAGACTAAGTGATCGTGTCAAAACATTATATTTTTGTTGCACTATTCCATAGTCTGTTGAACACAATGCATAAACTGCTGATATTCTTACCTGGAGTGAGTGCATCAACACGGGATTGTCTCTGGGTGATGTTACATTGCAATTCTGGGATTTTACCACAAATACTATCGCGCTGATTTAGTGCCTGAGGACGGAGAGTTTTAGAATTCGGATAAATACGGTTTAGGCGAAGGTATACACGAGTATGCATGCAATCATGTAAAACTGAACGTAATTGTTAGTTTTTGCAAGCATTGTGGAAAACTTTAGAAACTGATTAAGATACGTGACCATGCAAGGCAACTTTGTACATTTCAACGCGCTTTGAAGAAATCCAAGATGGAGGGCTGAGAAAATAAACGTGGCATAGCATGACGTGGTTGTTGATAAGAGCAGTGAAAGCTTGGCAAACTGCTCAAGACAAATTGGAGAAGATAACTAGCAAGATACACAAAGATAAAGGTGGGACAATGATGGTCTAAAATGTACTAATGCCACCATACACCTGAGATGCGTGTATAAGAAAACGCACGATAGAGCAAAGATCTAACACAAGTGATAGAGAAGTCACGATTTGCAAATCGTTTGATCACAGCGGGGGGTGGTAGAGAGAAAACCAACAGAGGTTAAGAAACTGAGTAGAGATTGAAACAACTACTGCTATGGACGACGTTACGACCAGAGGAGGGAGAAGACACTTCACTGCTTCCGCTACTGGAAGAGGGGAGGAATGCTTGTTTCTGTTGTTGTCTGCAGGGGGAATTGTCAAACAAAGGGAACCAAGTCTTGAGAAAAGGTGATTTAGGCGAGCATACAGGTGGAAATAAGCCGGAAGCAGAGGGATAGCAAGTAAGTTCACTCTGCACAGATGCACATGAACGAATATTTGTGAATGAATGGCTAGGCAGTTTCTGAATGGAGGCATAAAAATTACGTTCAAAAGTACTCATATCGGAAGTATGAGGACGAATATGGGCGCTTAAAGAGCGAGGCAAAAATGAGTCTACCGAGGAGCACGGTGACAGTACATCAATTACTTCAGCACTACGTGAAATTCGACAGCGCGAATTGTGTCTCATGAGGGGCACTGAGACAATCGTCGAATTAGCGCCGTGCACGGATCGAGATAACTGGGTTTCGTGCACATGGGTGGACAGCTTTTCTTGAACAAACGTTGCTGGAATAGAAGTGCTCAGTTGTGATGACAAACTCCGTTTGGCCAACAACATAGGCCGAAGGGAACGTGTGCCTAAGGAGGAGGTCAAGGGGCGTCGCAGCCGAACTGATAGAGGTGAAACAGACTCCGCACAACCAAGTTGCAGAAAGTGTGTGGAGCACGGTTGGAAATGAAGGTTGTCCAGGTTTGTCAAAGAGCAAGAAACAACAGTTGAAACAATCTCTGATGAAAAATTAATTTCAGAAGCACTCCCGAGTGCTCGCGAAGGGAAACCAGTGAGACTACGTTCTTCAGAAGGTGATGTAAGCATTAAGCGTGAAAGAAATGAACAAGGAGAAAGAAGCTGATTTTCAGTTGTTTCGTGGTGTTGCAGTAAGGACATGCGACTTCGCTTCCCTTCCCTTGGACTGACAGAGGTGATCGCGCCTTGAGGGTGTTGATGACAAGCGGCTGTGTGAACATTCGCTGGAACATCGGAATTCGAGTGCCTTGACCATTCCCGTTTCTTTGAAAATGAGTGGAGTCGTGGTAAAGAGACCATCATCTGAGGATGGTTAGTAATGTGACGCTTCAAGGGGTTAATAGACAAATCAGAAACGGCAAAGGAATTGTCACTGAGAAGCACGTTGGACTCTGATGACACCCAGGAGAAAGTGGAGAGGCGTCCACTTCGGTTGCTGTTGGCCAAAGGTAAGAGTAAAGAGGTCGGGAGAGAACCAAGGCGAGACAGCTCAACTTCAAAATCGAGGAGTTGCCCGAGAAAGTTGAAATTGGGAGCAACAGTAGATCGAACAGTCTTAATAAGGCTGTAATTGGAAGGAAAAACAAAGCGATGAAACATCAAGCAATACAACAAAACGCTGTGTTTGGGTACTCAATTTGAAAAAGGGCACCGTACCAGTTAAACCTCTAAGAACATTCAAAAGAAAACCAACCCAGTGCCAGCTTTAAGAGTTAGGAAGAAAGAACTGCCTATAAGACTGTCTTTAAAAAGGAAAGCCGCCGCGAAACGTTTAGCTAGAAGTCTGTCATCCGCAGATGGATCTATTTCCCAGCCGCGGCCCTGAAATGCGCGTTTTCAACAGAATCGCCCATCCATATGAAAGGCAACGAATCGCTGCTGAGGTTGACCGCTTCTATGGTCGTTTAACAATTCAAGTGAGTCTGTGGCCTAACGGCGCGGAACCTGTCAAAGCGGGTCAATGAGCACAACGCAAACTGATTACGTCAATGTCGCATTGAGGCGATCAACAGCTCCACTATGGCTCACTTTGTCGACACTGATATTAGAAGGCTAATGGAGACTAGATGTAAAACAGGACGTTGACGGCAGCAGAAAATACATGAACACTGGTTAGCTGGCGTGGAAACAGGTAACGAAAGAGTTAATAAAAACGAAAGCGGTGGTAACACAAAAATAGTTGCAGGAACAACCATATGGTTGGCAGCATCCGGTTTCGGACAGCCACAGAACGCCTGTGCCTACAGAGGGACCATGGGTGGCTTGCGTTGCACCATCCACCACTAAAACCACACACCCCATATCCAGTGTAAACCCGAAGGAATAAGACCAGGAGGCATGTGGATGGGAGCCACGTTTCATCTACGGAACAGGCCCACATTCCTTCACAGGCAAACACAACCACGCTGTATTTGGCCTAACACGGCCACAAGGACCGTGCACCCCGTCCCCTCCAGCAACGACCAACTGTCTCCTGAAGCCAGTATGAACGAGGTAGTGGGTAATGGACAGGTAGGCACCTTGTCAACATGAACATCAAGCGCAGCCACACCGGGGATATCAAGCAACAGCCAATCACTTGAGACGACGAGATTAAATAAAATAGATCGAAACACCATAAGGATATGCCGACATAACACTTCGCTAAATCAGCATATGAAATGAATGGGTTGTCAACATATCCGCCATAAACTCGTCTTAATGATTGAGAAAATTTTGATCGGGACAGATAACAACCACTCACTGTGATATTTTATGCTTATCGAAAACGGTGTACTTAACTGATCATGTATATTCAGGTGTGTCCCGGGCAATTCGAGAATACACTGCCTAATTATTTATCAGGTTCAATGGTTAGTCATTTCTGACATAACAGAACGCTTCTCAAGCTGCACAGACAAAAATCCTCCAACTCGGCTAATAGGCTCGTTTTAAATGAAAATGCCAAAATGAAGTACAGGTGTGGAACGAGTTTAAAGTCATAATCGACGACAAATGAGTTGGGCGGGAGAAGCTTAACAACGACAACAACAACAACAACACGACGACGACGACAGCAACAATAACAACAACAACAACAACGCTGGATACGAAGTACAGATTAATGTAGCAGATTTCATCCGTTCACCGTAGAACGCCTCAACAAAATCTATTGCTCGGAATTTGCAGCGTTAGAGCACCAGCTGCCCATTCGACCTCGTCGAGAAGACTGCTTCGTCCACTTGTGATCATCTTGCCTGGTTGCTCAGCAAGAAGCTACCGCTTTTTCGCGATAGGTGTTTCGGGGTATATAACTAGTCGTTCAAAACAACCGTTACGTTTCACATTAGTTCCTTTAACGCCCACACTCCAGCCGTGATCGATCAACAGGCAGCATCAGCAATTACCATTCACTCGCTTGCAATTGAACACGGCTGTGCCCTCGAAACATGCACTAAGCTAATGGTGTAGTAAATAATCGAATCCCAGATTCGGCATATGCGAACACTTAATACACTCTTCGTGTCTATGGCGGTACTGAATCAATAGCTCAGTATATTTACGGTATGGGTATCGCACTCAACTGAAGGGAAGATACTCGACTGGATGCCACTGAACAGCGGTATAAGTGCGGTTTGACTTCGAACCTCTATTAGGACTAATAAGCACCATCGGAAGACAAGATGCATACTAAAGACTCCCATTATGCTCCCATTGACTGCATTTTGGAGGGTAACAAAAATGATTTCTCTCGTCAGTTCTAATCTCTATTCCGCATAGTGATTGTTGATATTGCAATACATGTCTGAGTAGCTCGCCATTTGAACCATGAGTAACACTTGAGGCCGTTTCGGGGTCGGAGAAAACGGACAATAATGACAGATTCCTGCAACTGTGCATCGAACACTGCTACCCAGCACAAACGCTCACATCGTATCATCTGGCGCCAACCGTATTCCTCAAAGACGTGGACCCGAACTGACCAGTTAGCCATCAGCTATAGATGGCGCACATCAGTCAAGACCGCCGGTCAATGTGTTACACCTGCTTGGATTCCGGCCACGCTCTAGTGCGCATCAAAAAAGTCATGCGCGAGGCTCATCCTCTACTACCACGCCAGTTACGGATTGTACAGTGCTTGGCCGCAGAACTACAAATTTCCGCATAGCGACTGTGTACGACAGAAGATAGAAGCTTTACGAATGGATTTTTGATTGCTAAGGAGTAGTGGGGATTTGGGTGTAATTGTAGATGTGGTTCGCCGCAGTCCCCTCTCAATTAGGCAGGGTCCGTTCCTTTAGACTCTTCGAAAGTGGAATTTTGCCAGGTGACCAAAACAGTATGCGGACGACATAGCTCTTCTTGGGTCCGACGCAGTGGCTATGCAAACACGCATGGGTAGATTGGTGCGTGGCAACGCACGCTTCAGTATGTGCTTTGCTTCTTCAAAGTCCAAAGTCTTGTTGCAAGACTGGGCCGATACACCGTTTCTTGCCATCACGGAGCAATCACTACAAGTGGTGGATCGATTCACGTAGTTGCGTCACCTCTGGTGATCACATGACTGAGATAGCTTCGCGTATTAGAAAGGACCATGTGGTTCTCCATGCGCTCAACTATCTGATGTGAGGAGATATTAGCCTGCCAGTGAAAGATAGGGTGTATAACGCTGCGATAAGGCCGGTGTGGTTCTACAGATCAGAGATCTGATAGTTCGCAGTGAGGACATGAAACGATGGGCGGTGTTCGATCTGCGGTGCTTGAGGAAAATTGTTCGCAGCTGGAAGGAACAACGGGTAAGCAACGCTGAGGTCCGTCAGTTGGTTTTAGGCAAAAAGCCTACTGGTGCTTCATTCGATTGCTTGATTTTTAACCGGTTACGTTGACTAGGTTATGTCATCTGTATGCTCATTGATCGACTTCCTCGCCGTGCATTACATGCCGTCGCTGTACCAAGCTGGGTGGAACCGTGAGGTGTCCAGTCGCTGAAGTGACATAGATGCATGAAGAAGTTGACTGAGAGACTTGGTCAGGGTGGTGCATCCCGTCTTCGTGGATGGAGGCCTCGGGATAGTCCACACCAATGGTTGGAGAGGCTATCAGACATAATAAATTCGCGCGGTCAGTGCTGATCTCGCATTCGGTTATTTCGTACCGAACTGTTAATCTCCACGCCATCCCAATTGCTTTAAGGCAGTTCATCTCTGATTTCATTTTCATAACATTCTTTTTGTATTCAACCTGATTTTCTTACCCTTGTTATTCAATAGTATCTTGGTGACGCGAGTAGTGCGAATTGGATCCATCACACTTCGGTACTCGGCACATACTTGTTCAACCGAATTGCACTTAACTGATTGCGCGTCGGAACACATACACCGTTCTGGTGCGCGATTGATAGTCTGCTGGGCGACATTGTGCCCAGTGTCAGAGGTAATTTTACTTCCGGATTCCGACATTCATCAAATGTCGATTGACGGTTGAAGATACAGCAAACACAGATCAACATACTATTCCAATGATTCCAGAAATGTCCGCTGTAATTAAGTGAAACCTTGGCAGAGCAGGGCATCTTAGTAGTTTTGGCCGACCGGAGGCTGAGAAAACACACGAGTTGCCAAACAAAACGAGACGTTAGATCCGCAACCCCCATTGCAGTTCATGTAAAATTAAAGGAGTACCAGGGCACGATCAGATTAGTGTTGATCCACGTATTCCGAAACAAGCAACAGCCCAGGATGTGACCATGCCACCCGAAACTTAAGGTTATGTTATCTACCTGGGTCAACCGCTGGTCGCTAACCGAAGAGCGTCAAGCCGCACATCAGGGCTCACTGTGCTCGAAGAAAGCGCTGATGAGAAGTAAATAATCTTCAGCACAGTTGTCGGTGAGTGAGGAATTTAGCCCAAAATTCCAACTTAGCTGAGCAGCTGCAGATCTCAGGCGACCTATCTCTGTAATTATATCTCCGGCAAATAGAATGAAGTCTGAACCAGTAGCACCGCGATATGGCGTGTTAAGTCCATAGAAGAAGGCGTCCGTAGGAAGAACAAGACTGAGTTCTGCGTGGGAATAAGTGTTATAATCGCGATTGAGGGGGGCGTAGAGTCGTAAGAATAAAAGCTTCACCGCACCGGACAGTGTATTACCGAATGCCCAATCACACGATACTGGTAAGACAAGGGGTAAGGTAAGGTGGTATGTCAGACAGGCTGCGTTACATGACCGGCAGTCTCATACAAATGAACCACAGTAGAGCAGTGGACGGAAGCTCATGACTAGAGCCGCGCGAGTACGTTGTGCTTTTAAGGCGCCAGATCGCCATGCCTAAAAATGAGTGGTAGCAATAAAAAGCGTGAATCTATGCACAACACCTAGGCGAGCGTGGCAAATCGGTTACAGCGGCGGCTATCCGTGGAAAACCAAGGTAGTAACGATAATTCGGCGGAGGTTTGAAATTGCGCCCATTCCAGCAACATCTGCGGTCAATGCATAGTCTTCGGATGTGTGCAAACAATGGCGAGAAGACATGCGGAGTGTACAGGAGTGGCTCTGAACTGGCTCGAAGGGACTGTTGATGGGGT